TGTGGCCCGGGAGTGCAGTGGAGGATGGCCCAAGTCCTTGGGCCCTGCACCCCATGGGAGACCAGGAGAAGCACCTGGCTCCTGGCTTTGGATCAGCGTGGTACGCCGGCCGCAGCGCGCCGGCCGCAGCGGCCATTGGAGGGTGAACCAACGGCAAAAGGAAGACCTTTCTCTCTCTCTCTCACTGTCCACTCTGCCTGTCAAAACAAAACAAAACAAAACAAATCTATAAAAAAAATGAACATGTACACCACAATGCTGGTCCCAATAGATCCACAGATCCACTTTTTTTTTAAGATTTATTTATTTGAAGGCTAATCCTCCGCCTGCGGTGCTGGCACCCCGGGTTCTAGTCCCGGTCAGGGCACCGGATTCTGTCCCGGTTGCTCCTCTTCCAGTCTAGCTCTCTGCTGTGACCCAGGAGTGCAATGGAGGATGGCCCAAGCCCTTGGGCCCTGCACCCGCATGGGAGACCAGGAAAAGAACCTGGCTCCTGGCTTCGGATCCATGCGGTGCACCAGCCACAGCGGCCATTGTGGGGTGAACCAACGGAAAAGGAAGATCTTTCTCTCTCTCACTGTCCACTCTATCAAAAAAAAATATATATATATATTTATTTGAAAGACAAAGATAGAGAGGGAGGAGAGATATCTTCCATCAGCTGGTTCACTTCCCAAATCGTTGCAATGGCCAGGAATGGGCCAAGCCTAAGCCAAGAACTTCTTCCAGGTCTCCCATGTGGATGCAGGGATCCAAGCACCTGGGCCATCTTTCACTACTTTCCAGGCACATTAGTAGGGAGATGGATTAGCAATGGGACAGGAACTGGTGTCAATAGGGGATGCTGGCACTGCAGGCTGAGGCTTAACCTTTTACATCATAGCATTGGCCCCAACCCATTCATTTTTTTTTTTTAATGAGAATCTTTGTACTTTTTTTAAGATTTATTTATTTATAAGTCAGAGTTACAGAACAAAAAGGAAAGACAGAGATTTTTCATCTGCTGGTTCATTTCCAAATGGCCAAAACAGCTGGGGCTGGGCCAGGCCAAAGCCAGGAGTCAGGAGCTTCTTCCAGTATCCCACATGGGTACAGGGGACCAAGCACCTGGGCCATTCTCCATCGTTTTCCCAGGCACGTTAGTAGGGAGCTGGATTGGAAGCGGAGCAGCCAGGACTTGAACCACCACCCATATGCGATGCCAACGCTGCTGATGGCTTTTTTTTTTTTTTTTTTTTTTTTTTTTTTGACAGGCAGAGTGGACAGTGAGAGAGATAGAGACAGAGAGAAAGGTCTTCCTTTACCGTTGGTTCACCCTCCAATGGCCGCCACGCTGCAGCCGGCGCACCACACTGATCCGATGGCAGGAGCCAGGTGCTTCTCCTGGTCTCCCATGGGGTGCAGGGCCCAAGCACTTGGGCCATCCTCCACTGCACTCCCTGGCCATAGCAGAGAGCTGGTCTGGAAGAGGGGCAACCGGGACAGAATCCGGCGCCCCCACCCGGATCAGAAAACCTGCGGTTCCGCCCACGCCCAGGCGGAGGATTAGCCTATTGAGCCACGGCGTCAGCTTTGCTGATGGCTTCTTAACCTGCTGCATCACAACACCAGTACCTAGATCCACTCTTGAATCATTTACCCTCCAATCATCAGGAGTAACCTACAGTTTCACTGAGTTAAATCTATTCTATGGCCAGCGCCGCGGCTCACTTGGCTAATCCTCCGCCTGCGGTGCTGGCACCCCAGGTTCTAGACCCGGTTGGGGTGCTGGATTCTGTTCCAGTTGCTCCTCTTCCAGTCCAAATCTCTGCTGTGGCCCAGGAAGGCAGTGGAGGATGGCCCAAGTCCTTGGGCCCCTGCACCCGCTTGGGAGACCAGGAGGAAGCACCTGGCTCCTGGCTTCGGATTGGCGTAGCTCCGGCCGTGGCGGCCATTTCGGGGGTGAACCAACGGAAGGAAGACCTTTCTCTCTGTCTCTCTCTCACTTTCTAACGCTGTCTGTCAAATAAATTAAAAAAAAAAAAAAAGAAACAAAGATTATTTTTACACCAATATTCTAGTAAAAAATAGGATTAAAAACACCAAAATTTTGTTTTTAAATGGAACATTTTTAAAAAGCTTTCCCTGAGCAATGAGATGCATTAAGAACTTTGATTCATTTTTGAGTTAATAAACCTTATTCCTTTTATTTTAGCCCTTGTTAGGTCAGAGTATCACTGGAAGACTTTATATCCCCTAGCTCATTCCCACTTCGGACAGACAGCTCACACAAAGGCAATCATTCAATGCACTCACCACCCCTTTCCCTCTCCCAGGTTAAGTCCTCATCTGCTAACTGTCATCTACTATATAAAAATCACCATAAATAGCATAGAAAATAGGAGAAAAGGACAGGAAATTCTCATCACAGCTGAACAAACATCTATTACTTTAACATAACATAACACGAGTGGTATTTATGAGCTTGCCTGAACTTCTAGAAATTTCCAATAGAGAGAAAATGTACTACCAACATTAAAAGTACTAAGCAGGGGCCGGCACTGTGGTGCAGCAGATTAACACCCTGACCTGCAGTGCTGGCATCCATATGGGCACTGGTTTGAGACCCAGCTGCTCCACTTCCGATCCAACTCTCTGTTATGGCCTGGGAAATCAGTAGGGGATGGCTCAAGTGCTTGGGCTCTTACACCTGCATGGGAAACCTGGAAGAGGATCCTGGTTCCTGGCTTTGGATTAGCTCTGCTCTGGCCATTGCAGCCATTTGGGGAGTGAACCAGCAGATGGAAGACCTCTCTCTCTCTCTCTGACTCTACCTCTCTCTGTAACTCTTTCAAATAAATAAAAAATAAATCTTCAAAACAAAACAAAAAAATAAATTTGTATACTGTAATGATTTAATACAACAGTAACAAATGTTCTCCTCTAAATAATCAGTGTTACAAACAGGGAATTTATTAAGGTTGCCGTGAAACTAGAACTCAAAAGTTTAAAATCATACATTACTGTGCACTTTGAGGAAAGAGAGGTTAAACATGTTTTACAGACAGAAAAAGTAATGACAACTAGGGGTCATGTCTTCCATTCCTATAAAATAATTCACTTCCCTTATCTGTGTATCTTCAAAGAGCTAGTGCAGCCACTGCCTACCTTTAGTCAACTAAAGACGAACCACTCACTAACTTCCAAAAGCGTCACCGTTTCAAGCTCCCAGTTCTCAGAGCCAGCAAAGCTGAAGCATCTGTTTCTTTCTGTCCTTTCGAAAGGAGTTCGCACCTCTCTCAAAAGCTGCAGCTACAAAGCCACGTTCTCTCTCTGGAAGCACAGAGTTTAACTCTGTCCAATGCTTTGTGTACCCTAAAAAACAACAACAACAAAGGCTCAGGAGTGTCCCTCCAGCCTCTCAGAAAAGAACCAGCCACCCCTTGGGCTCTTGAACAGCTGCTCTGTCTTTTTCTGTGAGACACTCTGCCCAGGAGGTTCCAGAGACAGACAGGGTAACAAAAAAAGTTGAAAAGCTGCTGTACGCTCATCTGACCTCCAGAATAGAGACAGGGCCCTGGGGCAACTCAGAGACTTCTTTGCAAAAGCAATACTTTTTACAATTTAAAAATAACAAATTGCATTCGTACACCCCTCACTGGGCAGCCCTCCCAGCTTGTCTCAAAGTAGTTTCCTCAACTCATAATAAAACACATTAGTGCCAACTGTGCTACAAGAGAACCTGAGTGAGCTATGTTCAGAAAACATTTAACAGACCGGCCCTCCATTCTCCATTTCCTTCCTCTTGGATGAGCAGCTACATGCCATTCCTTTTTTTTTTTTCCCCACAAATATAAAACAGTATTTTTCCTACAGAATCTGATGGCTAATTTGTCAAATCACTGAAGAAACTTATGCAGGTTTTACAAACAATAAGGCTGGGCCTGGACAGAGAAATCAGTCATTGCATTAACAACAGTCAAGAGTAAAATCCAGAGGCCACCTTTGTGGCTTAGCGGGTAAAGCCTTCGCCTGCCACGCCAGCATCCCAAATGGGTGCACTTGTAGGAGTCCCAGCTGCTCCACTTCCCATTCAGCTCCCTGCTAATGCGCCTGGGAAAGCCAAAAGAGGATGGCTCAAGTGTTTGGCCCCCTGTACCCACGTGGGAGGCCCCGAAGAAGCTCCTGGTTTAGGCATGGTCCTCTTTCCCCTAGACTGTTGCAGCCATTTGGAGAGTGAACCAATGGATGGAAGATCTCCTTTTCTCTTCCTCTATAACTTTACTTTTCAAATAAATACAATAAACCTTTAAAAAAAAGAGTAAAATCCAGGAATAATCTTGGTGATATATTAGCATCAGCACTAAATCATCAACAGTCTCAATCACAAGCATACTGACTGCCAATAGCTGGTTTGAAGCACATCTTCCAAAGGTGCAGAAAGGCTAAGTGGGGCCTGCCCAAGGTTATCTATCAGCTTTATCAGCACTGGACTTGGTTTCGAACCTGTCTGACTGCAAGCCCCTAGCTCTTTGCCCAGACTGCTCCGGGCTTCAAACACAGGGCTCCTGAGTTCGATCCTTTGCCCAGAGTAGCCCAGCTAACTCCGGGCGACCGGCCCTTCCCTGCCTGGTTCAGAGCTGGATTCTTCAGCTGCAGCTGGGCTTTCATCCTCCTCCACCACCACCACCACCCCCCGCGACCATTCTCTGAAAGAAGCGGAAAGGGAGAGGCGACCGAAAGCTCCTGGGGGAAGGGATGATGACAAACGAGGGAGCTCAAGACACTGGCCCTGCCGTGACTTGCTTTCACTCCACAGCGCGCAACTCCTTCCCTCCACAAGGGACCCAGCTCCGGAGCCTCCGATATGGCCACCCGTGCCCCAAATTCCCACCTCAAACTGTCCCTCCCCCACACCCCTCAGTCCCCGACAGGCAGAGTTCATTCCCCCACATCGTGGTATCCTTCCGCCAGACAACCCTCCTTCCCCGCTGTCGCCTACTCCCTTCCATCACACTCACTGTCGGTGACTGGGCCCGGCCCTCATGGCTGCTCCGTTGCCGCCCGCCGCCACCACCGCAGCTCCACGCCCCGGCCCCTCTCAGTCACCGCAGCCGCCGTCGGGACTCGCCGGGAGCTGCTCCTGCGCCTGCGCAGCCTCGAGCGTCGGGGCCCTCTTGGGCCGCCCGCGCCTGCGCACCTCGCGCAGGGAGCGTCTTCCTCAGTGCCTGATGGCCTGGATCTCTGAGTCAGGTGGACATGGCCGCTGGCAATGAATACTCATTAGGCCTAGGGAATTTGACCTCTGCCTAGGGGTTTGAGGCTTCTGAGTGCCTTTCCTAGGTTACTAAATTCTTGGGCCGTACTTGCTGTAAGAGACCACAGATTTAATGGTGTTTCCAACATTCTGGATCCTGCTTGCCTTTAAGGCGTGAATTCAGGTGCTCCAAGGCGACCACTGATAATAAATTTGAGTTTCTTTCAAGAAGACCATCGCGTCTAGAATGCATTAAGAGTATTTATGTAATTGGGAACTTTGACATTCCAGAAAACACTACTGGTCAGGAGGTGCTGGGAAGCCCTAGGGACTTTGTTAAGGTGGTGACTTCACCTTGAATGCACAGGGACACTGCTAAGTTGAGGACATATTTTTCATGTTCGTGCTGTTTATTGGATGGAAATGTCCTAGAAATCCTATATGGCCCGTCAAGGAATTTGCAGCAGAGTAGTCCCCCTATAGCTCCAGCTCTCACTATGGAGGCTGGCCATTTGTAAACTGGCTGTGAAAATCAGATCTTTAGCCCAGTGAGACCAAACTTGCAGCCCCAAAACCACGGTGCTGCTATGGTATAACAAGGTACCAAGCTCGATCAAGTCCTGGTATTTCAACATTACAGACTTGAAAGGAGCTGGCAATGCAATGCACTGCCACCAAAGGGAAAAGCAGGTACAAGATTAAGGATACCACTGACATCATTTTCATGTTATCTCCAGGCTTGGCCTCCCATCTACCAAGTTTGGACAGAAAGGAATAGGGGAGGGAAGGAGGAGAGAAGCTATTTTCTTTCAGAGAAAGATGTTAAGGAGTGGGCACTTGGCACAGCACTTGAGAGATTACTTGGAACATTTGCATTCTATATCAGAGCGCCTGGTTGGAATCCCAGCTCAGCTTACTGCTAACGTGTACCCTGGGAGGCAGCAGATGAGGGATCCAGTACCTAGACCTGGATTGAGTGGTCTTGGATTTGGCATAAAAAAGCCCTGGCTGTTGCAAGCATTTGGGGAGTGAAGAAGCAAATGGAAGATCTTTGTCTCTCTCTGCCTTTGGAATAAGTAAATAAATTTTTGTTTTTAAAAAAAGGATGTAAGGATGTTTTATACTCTATACAAAAATGATTCCTGATTCCAGGATCTGATATGAATCTTTTAACTCCTAGACTAAGATTAATGGACATTTTCTTCATTTTGTAAAGAAGCAAAAATAACCTCTGAGTAAAGGTTGAGAATGCGAAAATGGTATTTCACAGAGACGTTAGAGATAATAGAGACTGCTCGTGACTAATATTTTTTTTGTGAAAGGAGGCAGGAAGAAATATACAGGTGCATATAATGGGGTTCTCAAGCCATTAAGAAATAAAGGGGGTCGGCGCCGTGGCTCACTTGGCTAAACCTCCACCTGCAGCGCCGGCACCCTGGGTTCTAGTCCTGGTTGGGGCGCCGGATTCTGTCCTAGTTGCTCCTCTTCCTGTCCAGCTCTCTGCTGTGGCCCGGGAAGGCAGTGGAGGATGGCCGAAGTCCTTGGGCCCTGCACCCGCATGGGAGACCAGAAGAAGCACCTGGCTCCTGGCTTCGGATCAGCACAGCGTGCCAGCCGTAGCGGCCATTTGTAGGGTGAACCAACGGAAGGAAGACCTTTCTCTCTGTCTCTCTCTCTCACTGTCTAACTCTGCCTGTCAAAAAGAAAGAAAGAAGGAAAGAAGGAAAGAAGGAAAGAAAGAAAGAAAGAAAAGGAAAGGAAAGAAAAGAAAGAGGGGCTGACATTGTAATGTAGCAAGTTAAGCCACTACCTGTGACCCAGCATCCCATATGGGTGCCAGTTCAAGGCCTTTGCTGCTCCATTTGCAATCCAGCTCCCTGTTAAAGTGCCTGGGAAGGCAATAGAGGATGCCCAAGTGCTTGGGCTCTTGCACCCATGTGAGAGATCTGGAAGAAGCTCTTGGCTCCTAGCTTTGGCCTGGCCCAGCCCTGGCCATTGTGGCCATTTCAGGAGTGAGCCAGTGGATGAAGGATCTTCCTTTCTTTGTCTCCCCTTTCTCTATAACTCTGCCTTTCAAATAAATAAATAAATAAATCTTTTGAGAAAACAAAAAAGTCACTCCCCGACACCTTCTCAGAGAAGCACGTAAGAGTCTAAGGACTCTTTCTTATCAGATATTTGTAATTTTATTTTTAAGACTTATTTATTATTTAATTGACAAGCAGAGTTAGAGACAGATTCCATCTGTAGGTTAATTCCCTAAATGGTTACAACTGCTAGAGCTGGGCCAAGTGGAAGCCAGGAGCCTGGAACTCCATCTGGGTCTCCCATGTAGGTAGCAAAAGCCCAAGGACTTGGACCATACTCTGCTTTCCCAGGCACATTAACAGGGAGCTGGATTCAAAGTAGAGCAGCCAGGAATTGAACCAGTGCTTGTATGGGATGCCAGCACTGTAGGTAGTGGATTAACCCACTGTACCACAATGCCGGCCCTATGTTTGCAATTTTCACCATATGCTGCCTGTACATTGCATCTAATGCAGACACTGGAGAAGCAACTCTACATAAGATGCAGACCCAATGTATGCCCTCCCTCCCACCTAGCCAGAACTTTTTTTTCTTCTGTAGGCCTATCTTAAGATTAAAAAAAGAGGAAAAAAAGGCAAGAGCTAATAGAAGCATGGTAGGAAGGCAGGACATCCTGTGGGTAACAACCAGGATCAGTCTCTTACTCCTGGCTCAGAAGAGTTGTAGTTAACTGTAAAAGTATTACCATTTGGTAAGAGAACACATTCGATACCACAGGTCAACTGCAGAGCCAGGAAGAATGGACGCCTAAAAAGAAGACCATAGTTAACCCTGACGTATTAGGGAACTGTGCCTTCCTAACTGCTGCTGGTGCCCTGCTGGAACGCACATAACAAGAGTAAATCTTCCTATATTTGAACTATGCTGGGCCTACTTGAATTTTTTACCATGGGCAGAATAATGAGGTTTTTTTTTTGCCCCACTAAACATTTATTTATTATGTCCAGTGAGTCATTCAGAGAACCAACCCTGCTCCATCCTCAGGCTCACTCCAGGCATGTAGCACTAACCCAAGCCTATCATTTAATATGTACGTAACATTTCCTGAGCTACAGTGATTGTCTCTGGCGTGGACACATAGCCTAGATAGAGCCAAAAGGCACAAGGAGAAATCTGATCCTGGGAAAATCTTGTCTTTCCCACTGCAGCTGGATGTATAATTCCTGAATTTGCTGCAGCCATGTTGCTACTACAAGGAGAGAGCCAATCCAGAGAAAGAGATGATTCATTCCGTCATTGGTTAAAAATCAACTGGGTCTTGGGGCCGGCACTGTGGCATAACAGGTAGAGCCGCCACCTGCAGGGCTGGCATCCCATATGGGTGCTGGTTCAAGTCCCGGATGCTTCACTTCCAATCCGGCTCTCTGTTATGGCCTGGGAAAGCAGTGGGAGATGGCCCAAGTCCTGGGAGGCCTGGAGAAAGCTCCTGGCTCCTGGCTTTGGATCGGCACAGCTTCGGCTGTTGATGCCAACAGGAGAGTGAATCAGCAGATGAAAGATCTCTCTCTCTCTCTCTCTCTCTCTCTCTCCCCCTGCCCCTGCCTCTCTGTCACTCTTTCAAATAAATAAATAAATAAATCTTTTTTTTAAATCAACTGGGTCTCTTTTTTAAAATAGATATATATATATTTTTTTTTTTGAAAGAGTTACAGAGAGAGAGGTAGAGACACAGAGAGTCTTCTATCTACTGGTTCACTCCCCAAATGGCCACAATGGCCTGAGCCAAGCCGATCTGAAGCCAGGAGCCCAGAGCTTCTTCCAGGTCTCCCACGCCGATGCAAGGGCCCTAGCACTTGTGCCATCTTCCACTGCTTTTCCAAGCCATAGCAAGGAGCTGGATTGGAAGTGGAGCAGCCAGGGCTAGGACCAGCACCCTTACCAGGTGCCAGCATGGCAGCCCAGGGCTTTAACCTGCTACATCACAGCGCCAGCCCTAGTTGGGTCTCTATTATGGGCCAGACGCTGTTCTAGGTGCAGGAAATACAGCAGTGAACACACAGGCCCTGTCCTCAAAGATCTTGTAGTCTAGCAGGGGACATACAAAATAACACCAAACACAGAACACTCACTATCTACCAAGCATTTACAATGTATCAATTATCTCAATCATCATGAGGGTGCTGTCATTATCCCTATTTTGTAGGTGAGGAAACTGAATTAGAAATTACTTGCTCAGGGTCATATAGTAAATAATGAGGCTGAGAATCAAACACAGGGTTTCTGGTTCTATAATCTGTATGGAGTAGGCACTTGGCCTAGAGGCTAAGATGGCTGCATCCCATATTAGAGCATCTGAGTTCAATTTCTGGCTCTGGCTGTTGATTTCAGCTTAGAGTCAAAGCCGACCCTAAAAGGCAATGTGTGAGACATGGATTTAATTCCAGGCTCCCAGCTCCAGATGCAGACATTTGGAGAGACATACCAGCAGATGGGAGATATCTCTCTCTCCCCTCCCCAACTCCATCTCCTCTGCCTCTCCATAAATAATTTTTTAAAACTTTATACTTTGTATACTTAATCATTGTATTATAATCTGCCTTGTCATAAGAGGATACAAGGGGGGCTGGTGTTATGGCATAGTGTGTTAAGCCCTGGCCTGCAGCGCCAGCATCCCTTATGGGCGCTGGTTCGAGTCCCAGCTACTCCACTTCCAATCCAGCTCCCTACTAATGTGCCTGGGAAAGCAGCAGAGGATGGCCCAACTCCTTGGGCCCCTGCATCCACGTGGGAGACCTGGCTCCTGGCTTTGGATTGGCTCAGCTCCAGCCATTGCGGCTACTTGGGGAGTGAACCAGTGGATGAAAGACCTCTCTCTCTCTGTTTCTAGCTCTCTAACTCTTTCAAATTAAAAAAAAAAAAGAAAGAAAAAGAAGAAGATACAAGGTTCTAAGAGAGGATTTAGCCAGATATGGAAGGAAGAGCACATATGAAGGCCTGGAAGTGACAAACAATATTAGGCAATTGGGGGTCTGAAAGAAATTCAGTTGAGATTGGAAAGAACAGTGACAAGCTTTGCAACTAGAGATGTAAACCACAGCCAGTTAATTACTTTGTACTCTATTCTGAGGTCAGTGAAGCTATGGGGTCAGACTTGGTCAGACTGGGGCCATCAAAATCAGGAAGACCCCACTTTCAGCATATCAGATATTTGCTAAACAGGATCTCCTCAAAAATTATTTATCTGAAAGGCAAGAGGTGTGTGTGTGTGTGTGTGTGTGTGAGAGAGAGAGAGAGAGAGAGAGAGAGAGAGAGAGAGAGAATCTTCTGTTTATTCCCCAAAACCCACAACAGCCAGGGTTAGGCCATAAGGGCTGAAGCCAGAAGCCGCAAACTCAATCCAAGTCTCCCAAGCAGGTGGCAGGGACCCAACTACCTTAGCAAGCACCTGCTGCATCCTGGGGTGTGCATCAGCAGGAAGCAGCACCAGAAGGCAGAGCCAGGACCTGAACCAAGACGTCCAACATAAGATGCAGGCCTAAGGGGCACTTTTTTAAGATTTGTTTGTTTGAAAGGTAGAGTGACAGAAAGAGAGTATGTGTGAGAGAGAGAAGTCATCCATCTGCTGGTTCAT